ACAAAATTGAAACATAAGAGTAATTTATGTGTCTTCGTAACAGAGGGACCAAATCATCGAATTAACAGAGAAGAGAAGATGGGCATGTGCATCTTAATCAAAATCATAAAGAAACCAACATATACGTACATATAAAAAAGGTTGAACAAAAAAAAAATATACGTACATATAAAATATTAACCAAAACTTAATGTATTTTTTTGAACAAATTCCATGATTTATGTATTTAAGAAGAGGCGTCAATTTAGGAACTCTAAAGAAAAGAATATTCTTATAAACAAATATATTTTTTAAAATAAAAATATCTTATAAAAGGACAAAAAAATAAATATATTATAAAAATCAAAATTTAACTACGCACTATTAACTAATTGATTTTCATTGCATCCTCAATTGGTTTTTAAAATTGAAAAGACATTGTATTCATAGAAAAACTCTAATTTCTTTGGGAACAATAGTTTATACGATTTTTGTTAAAACCATAAAAATATTAAAAAGAAGGAAGGAAAATTATAGTAGGAAAAATAATATCAAGAATAATCATTCTCCAAATCACTGGCTTTGACAGAGAAAAGAAGAATGGCCAATGCATCTAAACCAAAATCAAAAATCAAAATCAGATATTTTCTTCAGAATAAACGTACATTTAAAAGCTTAACTGAAAACAAAATGGATTCGGTTAACAAATTACATGATTTATATATTTAAGAGGATGTTTCAACATAGAAACTCTAAAGAAAAGGATACCATACAAATATATTAAACGAAAAAAAAAAATTACGTTTTGACTAATTTTTTTTCATGCTATAAATTATTTTTGAATATAGAAAAGACTTTGTCATGAATCATATAAAAACTATAATCTCTTTTGCAACTATGATTTATTATGATTTTTGTTAAAACCAATAAAATATTAAAAAGAAGAAGAACAATTAAGATGGGAAAAAAATTAAAAATTTACAGCATTGAAATGAAAAAGACATTTACATGATTTTGCATTTGCTATCTTCAAAGGATTTTTTATCGTGTTTTGAAGAGGCATATGATGAAGTTGATGATGGCGTGACAAACAAAAATAATTTTTCATAGGAAAAATGGAGTATACCTAGACAAAAAATAGAGGAAACATAGGAAAGAAAATACGTCGATTAGCAAATATACCTTATTTAAATACCAAACTGCACGCATCACGTAAACCAAAAACCTGTTTCGAAAGCACCTACAAAACAAAATCTAAAACTAAGAATTGATCATTAATGGAGTATTATGCATAAAAAAAATAATTTTTCCTACTATATGTAAAACATAATTAAAAAATGCGATAATGAATGTGTAAATTGCATAAACTCAAAGAATGTGAAAAAATGACGGATTTATTGAGTGGAATGATATGATCTTATATAGTGGCTAGGGAGGTGTCGATTTAGAGTTTGTAGAAACAGTATTTTTAATAAAATTAATTATTTGAGAAGTTTGCTCCACAATAATAGGAAACAAATCCTAACATATTACTTGAAATATCAAGATATTTAATGTACAAAGATTCTAATTAGATTAAAAAAATTGATTTAATCGGATTTGGTATGCATCATCGAATTTCGTCATTAAGATATCGAATTTTTACACAAACTTTATGGAAATTAATGTATTGATCATATCTCTAAATATTATATTAAAAGTAATTTGAGAATTAAATAATAGAAATTTTTTTTTTGACAAATTGTCGAACTGAGAAAATATTTTTGACTCATGTTTGTACTAATTTAGGAAAGAAAATGTTTGACATAACTCGCATTCGTGCCCGCTAATTTTGAACGTGAANATCTTTCATTCAAAGAAATATTTTTTAGGCAATATCTTTCCTTCTTTTATGTTCACGGTTGTTGGATTTAAGGTATGTATTGGATAATTAAGGAAAATACATTTAATTGTTAGATTTTTAGGTTATTTGTTCAAAAATTGGAAGATTTCCAAAGATTGAGTAAATCTTTAATATATTTATGAGAATATTCTCTTGGTCCTAAGATCTCTGATTGGGATAAACAGAGGATTGATTGGCTCAAACATTACTCCTTCCGAAAGTCTCGATACATCTACTCAATCCTTCTTAACATAGATGCAAAACCCAAAAATCAATACACGGTTCAAGAAATAGACTCACATGGAAATTAAGGATTTTCGCTTGAATAATCACATG